ATTTATATAGTTATATCGGTAATCTTTATACAGATGCCGAAGAAAATTCATTTCATATAGCAGCTGCATATATACATCATGTCAGCAAACTTGGATGTTTACTGTCTTTTTTTTATCTTTACTTCGTCATATAGTCTCGACAAACTCAAGATTCACCATCGCTGATCGTTAGCTTTCGGACTAGAGACTCTAGTTATAAAGACTATTCAGTGGGTTCAATTCTGAACTATAACAGTGGAGTAAAATGAAACAGTAAAACTCCAAGTGTATGTGTTTGTAGGTATGTATATATAGCTCCTATCTGTATAAATAAGTTGGAAGTAAACCAATAACCATTTTTGATCAATATGTTAATAATATAAGACCTTTAACATTTTTAAGATGTAAAAATAGTCTCATAAATTTTTGATAAAATTTATAATGAAACTGGTAGAATATATAGAACTAAGAAAATTTTTCAACGTTAGTAAGAAAAATTTGTATTAATAATTATTATATTAAATTTTTTTGTAAGTTGATTTCACAAAATTGCATCATGTTAAAAACAAAAAAGTATTGATTCAGTTCACAAAATTGACAAATATTTAATATCAAAAATTTTTACCACCAATAAGATCATTTGGAATAATTTTATTTTATTTTGAAGCAAGCAGAAAAATTGTAGAACTAAGAAATTTTTTTAGGTTTAAATAAATTTTATTTTTCTGCTTGAATAAAATTTATTAAGATAATAATTTTATGGTCAAAAATTTTTTAGTTAAATCAAATATTACATTCACTGAAAAAAAAATTAACTTGATTCAAGAGGAAAATTCTTGAACCAAGAAAATAATCTTGACGAGAGTAATTCTCTAGAATCAAGACGAAAAATTCTTGAATCAAGTAAAATTTACTTAAACCAAGTAAAAATTTCTTAGTTTAAGAATTTTTTTACTCAAATCAAGAAGATGAAGTTCTTCAAAATTATATTCTTGATTCAAGAACATTTTTTTGTTCTGTGTTGCAAAACTTTGACACCCAAATATCAAAACACGTTTTTATCACAAGTACTAATCAAATTTTGATTTTATGTTGCATTTAAAATTAAAAAATCGTTCAATTTGTAAATAAGCTATTATAAGTATGCATGGTACTAAAATGAAACTTGGTAAATATAAATTTAGTGTAGAATATCTATAAGATCTCCGGACGTTCGACGTGGCTCCGGTAATAAAACAATTCACGACCGCTGAAGTCTGATCTTGGGCTTACTCATTCTGTTTCATAGCTGCACACACCAGTTTAGGTTAAAACACATATAGATACAAAGGTCCATGATTTGCACCGTAAGCAGAGAAGATACACATGTCCTTATCTCGTTCCCGTCCACTCTATTATCCTTCTTCGTTTATCTTATTTATACAAAATACATCCACCGTCTTGTTTCAGTCTTGGTTTTGGTCGTCCTCGTTGAAATGTCGATTATTCCGTGGCTCTTCGCGGCTTCCCCACCAGATCGCGGCGCTCAAACGGCCAACTCCCTACCCCACTTACAACTATCCTTGTCTCCATTCCTCTGGAGCATTAAGGACTCTGACTCTCTCTCTCTCTCTTTCACACACACGCTGACTAGACAAGAATCCCCCACCAAAGTTCCACCGCTGATCCGCGGCCTTTGCTGATCCACGAATCGACGACAGCGGTAGGGATGTCGTGGGTATCGTGGGCGTTCCTTGGGTATGACCATGCCCATAAGCCCGAGTTGCCTTTTTCCCAGCTCCGTAGGTCGTAAAATGTTTTTCGCCGCGGATTATGACGCGGTCTGCGCGATTATGACCACCGCTCTCCGCACCGTAGCAAGCACTGCACGTACATGAAGGGAGTACATGAACCCATGTACATTTTCCCATCCATAAATGCCCGTGTGAGTGTACGTGTGTACATAGGACAATTTTTTACTTTATTTTTCTTTATATCTTTATCTTTTTCTCGAACCCTTGTCCATGGTTATTTTTTATTTTTCCTGATGCTACGCTTTTCTACGTCGCTCTTCCTTCCAATTTTTTTTTAGTCTTTGTTAGGCTTTTTATTTACTTTTTTTTTCTACGGTCTGTAGCTTCGTCGTCTCGTTTGCTCTTTCCTTTTATTTTATTTGGTCTTGCTCTATCTTGTTCCTGTTTGTGACGTTTCGTATTAGGTAGGAGATATAGGTAATTTTTTTTTTTTTTCATTTTCATTTTTATTTTAGTTGCTTTTCAACCAAATTCTCAAACTCTTTCCACATCCATCGATCGGATATATAGTAATCGTTTATATGCATTGACAAAGTATCACGTCGTTTGTCTTCAGTTTGTCATATCTACTCAATAACTATTTTTTTATTTTGTGTTATGGAGTCTTTTGTACATACTTAGTTTCTTCAATTTATTTCTTGTAACGTTGAAAAAAACTATACTAATATGTCTTTTATTACAAATAAAATTACTCGTGTACAAATCAGCAAATTTTCTGAAGCACTGAAAGAAATAAAAATTATTTCCAGGATTTAAAAATTTGAAATGAACTAAATTTATTATAATAGGTAAAAATATGCAAATATATTTTATTTGAATTATCTAAAAATTATTTTGACTAATTTTTAAAACAAAAAAATATAATATATTTTTAATAATTTGAAAATAAAAAAGAAAAAAAATGTTTTTGCGTGAACAAAATTTTATTAAAAGAAGAATTTTATTTTCTACAGTGTAACTTTAAATTTTTAGATATCAATAGTCTAAATAAATCTTATCTAAGTAATCAAAAAAATATTTTATTCCTAATAATGAATATTGAACTAATAATTTTCAGATAAAAAAATTAAATTAAAAATTAACTGAAATAAAGTAAGAAAAATTTGCTAATTAAAACATTAACATTATATTTTTATAAGTTTTATTAAAATATGTCCCTTAAAATATTTAATATTATAGCAGACACATGAATATTTCAACTTTTTTTACAATTTTAGCAAAAAAGAAAATAAATTATATAATAACTTAAGTAAGACCTCTGAAAAATTAATTTTGTGACAGATAAAACACTGTAATTTTAAAGCACAAAAAAAACTTTTCTGAAATTATAGAGTAAACATAAGATATATAATTTAATGTATGTACATGTCCAATTTAATTTATTTTCAGTCATAAAAAAATGATAATAGACGAAATATAAATCAGAACACACGTGTATACATTTACATTGACCCACTGATTTGTAAATGGTCGAATTAAAGGGTCTCATTAGTTTATAGACGATCGATATGACATATTTATTTGTATGTCAAAGCGCTTACACAATATGTCACCAGAATTGTCGTGTGTCACTTTGATAGAGTATAAAATTCATAACTACCGGCGTGTAATTGCTCATAACCTTCCAGCCCAACAATAATAACTTAAAAACTTTGGCGTTGCGTAAAAGTACAAAAAAAAGACATTATAGTATTGACCGAAAAATGTTTGAAGATAAAACGAAGGCATTGTTGTCAATAATTTATGTTTATAAAACACAATTTATTTTTTGCAACAATAGTTTGAAATTGAAGAAAAATTTAAAAATTAAATTTTTTCTTTAATTTCAGAGGACAATTTTAATGAAGCAATAAAAAAATGTTAATTAACGGGTGTGTTTGAAATTTTATCACCTCAGAGATCATTAAGTGAAATAATAATTAAGTACACAATAAGTAACAAAAGCAAGTAGATATGGCCGTCGGTGACTGGAGTCCTACATTGGTATTTGTCGTACATAGAGCTCACGAATACACAAGACGAAGAAAGACAGAGACACAGATACAGATATAAATACAAGTACATGTCGATGTACTAAGAGGCAAAAAACACACTCACACTCGGATAAATGGACACATATACAAGCGAAATAGCTCGCACGGACGCTCTGGGCGTCGCTGTGACACTCTAAGCGCGAAGGATGACGACGTGGAGAAGCCTTGCGCGCGATCGTGTGAGTGTGTTGTGTCGTCGTCGACGTCGTGAGTCGCGGTAGTCTCCCTCACATCTTCCTCTCCCGAGTGGGGATGGGTTGAAGTTTAAGGGTGGATCGAGAGCTACCGAACCGCTCGAGGAGTGGGGAGCTCGTCACAGGGTGGAAGGGATTCGGGCGAGGCGGGGCCAGTAAAACATTTCCCCTTCAACGCTGTATTCTGTTTAACCAACGCACCGTGTCAATGCGCGCGTCTCGCCTCTGAGCGTCAATTTTCACACCAAATGCTTCAACTTTCCGCGCTTTCATTTCTCGGTCAGACAGCTAGCTATTTATATCTCTGAATATCATATTATTTTATCGCTCATAGTTAACATTTATTTTCGGTTTTGTTGTTATTATTTTAACAAGAGTTTTTTTTTTATTTGTGCATTTGTTTGTTTATTTTTTCCAACACACCGATTTATTGGATTTTACTTTTTTACAAGGAATATTTTCAAAATATTTTTAAAAAAACATAGGTAAGGTTTTTATATTTTTTTTTTATCAGTAAGAAATTTAAAAAATAAAAATTATTAAATTTTAAGAGGTATAACTTTAATAATTTTTATTTTTATTTCATACAAAATTTTTTTTTTTGTTTCAATAAAAGTTTTAAATAAATATTATTATAAAAAATTTATTTAATACAAATTTAATATTTTATTTTTGTAATATTAATATTACAAATATTACAAAAATATTAATACTAATATTAATATTTTTGTATTAAATTTTTTTGATACAAATTTAATATTTTTGTATGAAGAAAAAAATTGAATTTTTCTCAAAAAAATTAAATTTACCACATTTGAAATTAATTTTAAGAATTTTCTTTTTCTTTTAATAGAAATTAAAATTTTTTAGTAATATTACTAAATTGATAATTTTTTTTTCTAAAAATTATTAATTATTATTATCATTATTAGCCTATCGCATAAGAATTAAAAAAAAAATAAAAAACTAAAACATTCATAGAGTAATTAGAGTATTATCAGAATTTTCCCCTTCCTTAGAGGAACAGCGAGTATAAAACGGGCAACTGGATTTAGGGTGGTGTTAATGGGCGTACTCGCGGTTAACACCCTTAGCTTCAAAGGTGGGGATGAAGGTAACTATTCGGTACAGCTCGTAGTCTCGTGTCGTATCGAGAATAAAGTATCTAGACTAGTATTAAATCCTAAAAAAGAGTAAAAAATAAAGAGAGAGCGAGCGTCGGAAAAGGCGTCGCGGGCAACGCCACCCGGATTGGCGCCGGAACGCCAATCCGGGCGTCGAGCCCTCATTATCGCCCAGCTAGGCGACGCGGAGAGGTCCAAGCGGAGCTTTAAACTCAGAACTTGTCAGTTCTCTCCAGTCCTTCGTTCCAAGTCGTTCCTTATCCAAAAATTGCTTATATTACTTTTGCTTGGATTCTGCCCAGAGCTAGTATCAGCATAACTAAAGAGTAGAGGGTGCAACAAACATTGACATTCAGTGATATGAGAATCTGGTGAGCCCCACCAGGGATATTTGACTGCCACCTCTACCCTGTCGTTCTATCGCAGACGTAGCCGGTTTGTCGCGACTTTCGGGCCGAGTCTCTTGAGGAACAGAGAACAGAAAAGAGAAAAGTGGTCGGTCGTTGTAGGGGAAGAGAGGAGGAGCCCGGGTTGTCTCAGTGTTGGCGTTGCTGCCCTCCAGCATTCACGCCTACCGAAGTTGCGCTGGGAGAGTCTCCCCTCTCGCTCGCTCCAACAGTCAACCGGTCGCGCTCGGGACTTTAGCACACCAACACCTCCAACCGAGCGTGAGGGAGGTGTGGGGGTGAATCCCGGAGGAGGTGTCAATCCTAGCGCTGCTCAGTGACCATCGCGGCGCCACCCAAGTAACACCTCAGTCTCTCCGCGGGCACACCGGGCCTTGAGCCCGATGCGAGCACATATTTCGTATATCCCACAATAAATATTACGCCTTACAGTTAAGTACAGTATCAGTGTTGTTTATATTTTCATTTTTTTATTAATTAATATACTACCGATAAATTTGTCATATTTATCTGTTGTTTTTTTTTTTTTTTTTATTATTCTATCGCTCTTTTTTAAGCGAGTTAAAAATTTTTTGACAGTGGACAGTGTTCTTTATTTAATAAATAAATATAAAAATAAAAATATGTCGATGGTTTTTTGTGATGAAATTTAAATTGTGAGCCGGTTAAAAAGCTGGACGGGTTTTGCAACAAGCCACGAGATATTATATTGAGATATATAAGAGTGCCGAGCGTTTGTCGCCCGTCGGACGCTGACACCCGGTTTTTTCCACGCATGCTAATAAAGCTCACTAAAAAATATGCAAAAAAAAAAAAACAAGTGTTGTGGATAAAAAAATAAAATGTAATTAAAATGACAAGGATAATTGCAAGAGTTGTGAATAAGGATACAGCTGAAAATATTTATTATTTTGTTCTTCAGTGTTGATATTATAATAATAAATAAATAAGTGTGGATTTTAAATTAACTAGCTGAGTTTGTGCATGTCTTTGGTTAATTATTCATCACCGAGATATGACATTGACAGAAATATATATACATTTGCCGGATTAAATTTAATTGTTTATCACAAACGACTGATAGAAACATATTAATCTTGGTATTAATTTAAAAAGTGTCTGTGAATTTTGAAATTAAAAAGTGATTATTTTAAAAAAAAATAATCAAAATTGTTTAAGTGTGACTGTTATTAATTGGTAGTATTTAAAAAAAAGAAAAAAAAAAAAAAAATACTGTGTGTTTACTATGTTCTTTTCAATGCGTTTAATTTTGACAGGAGTGGATAATACAAACGAGATAAAAATAAAACGCGCGCGATGTCGCGTGTTAAAATATGGAGTATAGTTTTGTGAGAGTTTACAGAGTCACTGACTATAAAAAAAAACGCATGTATCTTCATCATGAACATGATATTAGATTAATAATAAATTAAATAAAATAATAATATTGGAGTAATAAAGAGGAAGATAATAATAATTTAAAGAAGAAGAAAAAAAAAGTGATTGTTTTTAGGCAATAGATTAGAGAGTCGAAGAGTAATCTCGCGCGACTCTGTTAATTCGCCCCAGCATCTCGATGAGATTCGAACAAGACACGACGTGCAGGGGTACCCACTGCGCCAGCACTCCATTACAGGCACCTCAAAAAATAAGACCCAAGGAAGAGGTGGAGGTAGTGGACGGTGTCTTCTCGGCCTCTCAGGACAACCGAGTGTTGTTGCTGGACAATCACCGGCATAATCTAAACAATCTTCAGCAGCAGCACCACCAGCAACATCAGTCTCACTTAGGAGGGAACAGAAGGCGACTGTTTGAATTGGAGGTAAATAACACACTAGAGAGTGCCAATACGGGGCTCAGGGGGGTGGCGGGAGGGCCTGGGATGGCGTATCCTGCATCAGCAGCCGGGCCGACACTTAATCAGCACTCGGCATTCTCATCGATAAACAATTCGGCGAGCGGCAACGGGAACGGTCTTCTTTCATCCAGCCATTTACCGGCACCAGCGGCTCCTCGGCCCACTGACTTCAGTGTTTCTTCGCTGCTTACTGCTGCCAATAACCATCCCTCGCATCTTGGTGGATCCTCGTCTCAGGGGAGCGCTTCTCCGCCGCCTGGTGGACCTGGAAGTCCCGCCGCTGCACCTGAAACGCCTCCACCGCATAATAATAATAACAATAATAATAATAATAGTAGTAGTAATAATAATAATAATAATAATCACCGTGACCAAATTGGACATTCGGCGGCGGAAGCGGCCGCGGCTAATTATTTTAACGCGTTAGCCGCCGCGGGTTTTTGCAATCCCAGTGGTGTACATTTGGCGCATAATCCTAATAATCCACATCATCTATCGGCCAAGGGGCTACTTGGTAGTCCTCATCATCATCCGCAGTTTAATCTACACGGGATTACACCTCAAGGTGATTTATTTTTATTTAGTATATTAACGCTTTTTAGCTGTGCAAAGTAGAATTTATACTACCTGAAATTATCAGTTGAATTTTTTTTTTAAATAATTAGTAATTATTTTTTTAGAAATTTATATGAGAAGTCAAATATCAAGATTTTATTTCCTTGGATACAGAAAATATTTAGATCAATAAATCCTAGATTGGTAACATTTTATTTTGTGTTTATTAAAATTTTTTGCTTTTAAAGCAGCTCAAGTTTTCCTGAAGATTATCTTAGTTCTAATGAATCTAAGTAAAAACTTGAAAATAATTTATTGAAATATTTATTAAAGAACAGTTAGATAATTGAAAAAAAAAAGTTTATAAATATAATTATTAAAACTGGAGTGAAATTTTTTAGAGTTGAGTTTCATGTTTTAAAAGAGCAGTTTTTTGAATTTTTAAATATATATTACTTCGAGAATTATAAAGATTTCTTAATGAAAATCGAATTGCAGCCTTATAACCGATAAAACTTTATAGCTAAATTAAAAAAGTTCAATAAAAATATTTATAATTGAAGATAACCAGTTTTTTGTCTCGACTAATCAAAAATGAAAAGATACCCTTTTGAAAGTCAACTCCTAAGTTATAATATATGATTTCTTATTTTGGAGTAAATTTATTGATAAAATTATTATAAAATACATAAATTTTTTAATTATCACTTCTTCAATTATAAAATTAGTATTATAGTTTCATGCATTACATAAAAAAAATTTTTTTTAGTCAAAAATTAATTAAAAAACTCCAAAATAAGAGATAATTTTTTCATACAAAAATTTTAAATAAAAATATTAAATTTTTTTAAGCATTTCATATATTTTTTAGTATATAAAATTATTATTAATTTGCTTAGAATTTATAAATTCAATATTATTTTTTTTCAAATGCGTAGTTTCTAAAATTAGTTCAGAACAATGACATTTAACTAGATATACTGCTTTTAAACTAATATATTCAAAGTTTTTGAAAATAAAATAAAATTTATAATTTATAATCTTGATTTTAAATGTAAAAAATCAAAATAATTCTTAACATGTTATTCAAAAATCAAAAAATATTTTTAATAGTTCGCACGCCCTAGTTTTATTTAGTGTTTTTTTTATGGATATTTCTACGCGTGAATTGAATTAAAATGACTTAAAATAAAATTTTTTTTTATTTTGTATTTAAATTTGTACTAAAGTATTGGGATAGAGATCACGTCAGTTAGCGCTTGGGTTTTATTTTATGTTAAAGAATTATTTACAGGCGTGAAACGTGTCTCGGAAAAAAATCCACCCAAGTCCCTGTAGGAATAATTTAAAATAAAGTGATGTAATTTCAGTGCGAGTACCTGCAGTAATAAATCTTGAATTGATTGTAATTTGTTTTAATTATTTATTACTAAGGTAAAAAATAAATGGGATAAATTGAAGATAGAGTTTTTATATTGCAATAGATCGTTGAGAAGAGATTAAATAAAAAAAAAAAAATAAACTTGAAGTTTTGTGAATAGAAAAAGGACAAGTAAAAGAAGTAAAGAAGTAAAAAAGAATTGGTGAAAACGTTTGAGAAGTAGCTTAAACTTACGGCATATTAATTTCGTGGAGCGACGCGTGACGCTCGTGGTGGTTGCTTCTTTTTCTGAGTGCTGCAGGCTCACAGCCAACAACTGCTCATAGACTAGCAGTGATTAATCTTAGCCAAGGACAAACTGACGTGCCGCTTGCATTCGAAATTCAAACCTCCGTAATCATTACCAAAGACACATTATGTAGCTTAGTAGCCGCAATTTGCGAAAAAAAAATTAAAATAATTGTTTAGCTTATTTCAATTTATAAAATAATATTTAACGTCGTAAAGTCTAATCAGGACGACTAAATATACTCTGCAGGAAGAGATTATTAAAATTACTTTCATTTCATTACATCATGGCGCATTTTTTAAAACGTTGTTCTATTCAACTAATTACCTTTACACTTTTTACAATTTATCTTTATTTAAAAATTTACTGCTATTTTTTAATAATAAGTACCTTTTTTATTTTTATTGACATAGTTTATCGGCTGTTATTAGTAATTTTATTCATTAGTTAATTCTAACTATTTTTGTTCCTATAAAATTGTATATTCACAAGAATTATGATTGTTTTCTTCTACAGAAATTTGATATTTGATTAATAATTGTTTTGTACTCAGAAAAATTTTTAAAGTACTAATATTTTGTCTTTTTTATGATTTTTTAAAAAATTATTTCTTTTAAACTGACATGTAAATTATCACCTTAAAAGTATTTATTAATTTTTTAGTAAATAAAAATTTACAAAAATTTTCTTTCATACTTTTATAATTTTAAAAGAAATTTTTATTCCATAGTGAAAAAACTAATTTTGTTCTCAAAACATTAAAAGTGTGTTAATATAAAAATAATTCATTTATTTTCTTCTCTTTTATTATTATTTATTAGTGACATCTTTATGAATGATAAAATATATTTTTTTTTAACTAGTGGAGCTATATAAATAATTAAAAAAGATATAATACTCCAAATTGTCTTATCTCAAACAAAGAAGAAAAGTTTTCTGTGGATCTAAAATTTTCTTAGTCTAAGAAAAAAATTCCAAAAGAACATCTTAGATCGTTTTAAAAATGTTGTAAATTCAAGTTCATTTTTAAATGTTTAATTACGTAAAAAATTCAATATAAAATTTAAAAAGCGCGATGAAGTATATATCATTCTTGCACAATTTGGTTTATATTTTTATAAAGTCATTCTACTCCAAAATTGTCAAAAAGGTGATAAAATATTTAAAGATTTTTAATCACATTCTGACCCAAAAGTGTAAGCACCGTACATAAAATTACAAATCAATGATCAATTACCAAAACTACGTCACACATTAAATGATATAATTTACAGTGGAAAAATCACGATAAAGATAATAAATACATATTGACGCGGCATTATTGAGTATACGTATATGCATCAGTGACAATTGTCAGATAAAAATGTGATAGCATGTGTGTGGTCTGTTTGATGAAGCCTAGACCTCGGTGACTTGTCTTGTCTCTTAACTTTATACCCTTAATTTACATCAGGCGTACCGCAAATATCTTTGTGTAAATGTTTTACGCAACGTCGATTCTTTGAATTGCTATATATGCCGTTCTATATTGTCTATTATTATCATCATCACCATTACTATTATCATTATTATTATTATTATTATTATTATTATTGTTATAGATAATATAAATAACAAACTGAGGAGTGTTCAACTCCGATTTATTGAATAATTTAGTACTTTGTATCTCTGATGCAAAATTTAATTATTTGCTAAAATTTTACTCCACCCATTAAACAATTGCTTCCAATAATAATATAATATTTACAAATGAATTTATATTAAATCAAATCAATTTTATTGACTGAGTAAAATTTACAAAATTATATTTTATGTTTTATTTATTTATTATAGTCAATTGTTGACTTATAATCAGACAAGCCGTCGTATAAATGTTGAACCATGAATTTATATATATATATATATATATATATATTTCCCAGAAGCATGACCGCGGGTGAGTTTGACCCTGGAGGACAAACAAATAGCAGCTCATCGTAGCAAAACTCTTTGGTTTGTTTTTTGTGTTCGATGATCAATTGTACACTGATAGAAGGATCTTTTTGTATTTAAAAAGATTTGTTAATATTTAATAAATGATTTATTAAAAGATAGGTCCTTAACAAATATTTATTAACAGTTAATAAATCATTTATTAGCAAAGAAAATTGAAATTAAAAGATACAAATAATAAAAAGAGAAATTACAATTAGAAGTTTACATATATATATACTTATTTTTTTTTTTTGATACAAGGCGTTGGTGTAAACCAATATAGCCAAATATACTTATTTACAACTACGCGTTAAGTAGAGCCATCTACCAACACCGACCACCAACAAAATATTTGTTAACTATTAACAAATCTTATTTGGTGGAAATAAATACTTTTTTCAATACACTAAAGCTTCTTAATAGTTACAAAAATTTTGTTCTCATAAAAAATTGATTTAGTTAATACTAAAGAATATTGTTAATAGTAAAAAAATATTTTTTTTCACCCAAAAAAATATCTAAAAAAGATTTTAATAAATTGATTTATTAAATACAAACAAATCCTTCTATCAGTGTATAAAAAGCCCGTCTAGAGTTAATGGTACAACATAAAAAATGATGTAAAAACATCCAAAGTTATTTATTATTTATTTAGAATTAGTGAACTATTATTATTATAATTGTTGATATTATATATCTTTATTTACTTACACATTTAAAAAAAAAAGTCCGTAAAAGCAACAAAGTTGAGTAAAAAAAAACTAAAGGCTTATGCCAATTATTGTATTTTACGATTACAAGCTTCGTTTGTAAAATTGATATCTACGAACTTGCTCGTTGAACATCCCAGGAAGAGTCTTTGTACATAAAGAAAAGTGTGGGTTTATACTTGTTGAGGAACATAAGAACTATGAAACTGAGTTAAACTTACTAAACAGTTTGTATATACTAATACATTGTTGTACAGAGTACAGCGTATATACTCATATACATGTTTAGTATACACATATAAGAGCGCATCGACTCTCTTTATATCCGTAAATATATATTATAGATCAGTAAATGCATGCATATCAAGCTTATCTATTTTATTTTTAAATTTTAGCACTTGTTGCTAAATTACTGTCAGAGAATAAGAATCGCGTGGTCGAGTAATCAAGTAGAATTATTTAGATTTAGATTTTCTGTTTTTATTTACATCCCAATAACCATCAACCATCGCTATTAGAAATACCTAGTATATAAAAATGCAATAGCGTGTGCAGTAAAAATTTTCTAAAGATTATCAAGAATAATTATAGGTGTAATGGGTTGTAATAAAAATTACATCTAGAAATTCTGGTTGTAACTACTGATATCGCATCGCGATTAAGACGACTTGGAATTTTATGAAAAAGGATTTAAATTTTATTGTTTAATTAAAGCTAAATTTACTATGCAAATTAATTTATTTAATAAACTGAATGAAATTGTGGGAAATCTAAGGTTAGATTTTAATCTCGTATTTGATGGTACAAGATTGAGTTTTTGATATTAATTTTAATTTGGACGAAGTTAAAAACATTTGAACGATGTAGTTAAATTTTAACAGTTTGAATATTAAATAGTAATTGGGAAATTTATTTAGAATTTTTTTGGAATTATAGATATCGTATTAATGTCAGGTTTCATCCTGCAGAGCGCACTACCGTCGCGATAATGTTGATGGCTGCGATCGTTATATTGAAATAAAATTCTGTTAATTAATTAATGACGGTAATATACATATTTACATCTAGTTTATAATGAAAAGATTTTTATTAATTATGATTTAATAAGAAGAATTTTCAAAATGATTTTTTATCAAATCAGAGACCAATTATGTTTTTTGTAACTAAATTTTTTGACTGAAAATTATACATATGTGCTGTAAAAAGTTAAAATTCTATTTTTAATTATTACTAGAAATCACGAACAATTATTTATCATCAGCACGCAAAAGACCAGTCTAATTTTTACAGTTTAAAGTGTACATTTTAATAGTTAAGTAACCCAAGCAAAAAACTGAAAAAATTAGTTTCAATAAGAATTGTTAGAAAATAACATTTTAAGTTTTGATTTAAGAGTTTTAAAATGTTTCTTATAAAATTTATGAAAATTATATTTTAAAATACACTAAAAAAAAAAATTTTTAACTGGAGGGTAAATTTATTAAGGAAGATTGAAAATTCCTTGAATGAAGTCAAAGTTTCTTGAGCCAAGAAAATTTCTTCTTGCTCCAAAATAACTTTTGTTTTCTTTAAAATTTTCTTGGTGCAAGAAGTTTGTTTTTTCTGTGTATAATTACGCCGTTTGATGTATGTGAAATAAAAATAAATAAACTTTAATTTTTTTTAGTTTTTTTACTTGAGACACTTAACTATTATGAATTGTAAAAATTCAGATAATTAACAATATTCATTCTTTAAAAAGAAGGAATTCAAAAATATTGGAAGTAAATTTCGTTATTTTAAATACTTTTTGTAATACATTTTTTTAATCAGGTTTTCCTTAAATCGTAAAGCAAAACTTTTTTAATACTACTAAAAAAAACTTCGATAAATTTTGATTTATAATCAAAAAGACCTTAAAAATTGCCATCTAAATTTCATGCTGTACAATATTTTCTAATCTATATAAATATTACCCAATTTGGATCAATCTTTTATAATTAATAACAGAAAAAATTTTTCAGATAAAGATATAAACAAAAAATTCTTGCACCAAATTTTTTTTTCATTATAAAAATAAAAATAAATCCTTTAATCTAATAAGAATAAAATGTACCAATATTTCCAGGCCTGAACCTAGGACCTCACGTAGGCGACGACGCAAACGCAGCAGTTCTGGCGGCAGCAGCAGCAGCAGCAGCTCTTCATCATCATCACCAAGGCGGCCCAGGTGGCCCAGCAATGAGGCCGTTGAGGCTGCCTCTTCCACCGGGCATGATGCACTCATCGCCGCTTCCTATGGCACCTCACCACCCTCTCGCCGCCCCTCATCATCTCGTACCTCCTCACCATCCCGAGGAGGACGGCGTCGTTGACGATCCCAAGGTCACATTAGAGGGTAAAGAGCTCTGGGAAAAATTCCACAAACTCGGCACTGAGATGGTTATTACCAAGAGTGGCAGGTAAATTTCTTCATCAAATATTATTATTTATTACTTTACTTTTTTCGTTTTACTTACTATATAATTTATTAATTTATATCTATAAATAATGTAAGATTATGTTATTAGTTATTGTTATTGTTATTATAAAGTCAGTATCGTTCATTTAGGGATAATTACACTCATTACGACTAGTCAGTTAATTACACAAGATGTACATTGATAAAATTCTTCTTATCAGGTACATCATTTATGTAACTGAACTAAACATATACTGATAGAACGATTTTTTAATATTTAATAAAGTTTATTAACTGTCAATAAATAATTTTTTAACATCAGATGATTTAATAAATATTTATTAACACGTAAAAAAAATATTTAATAAATCGTTTATTGAACAAAATTTATTTATTCACTGTTAATAAATATTTATCAACTTTTTGAAATGATTTTTTTATACTTTTACATAAAAAGTGAGTGTAATAATTATATTTTGGCACTTTTTTAAACCCCAACACTTCAGTAGACAATATAATTTAATTTAATTAGTCAGAATAATAAATTTTTTATAAAAAAAAAAAAAGATAAAAAATAAAACAATGGTTAAAATATTAGAAAATAAAAATTACTTGATTTCGGAAGAAAAACTCTTGAAACAAGAAAATTATTTAAAATTTTAAAGAAATTCATCGCCTTGAATCTAGACGAAAAATTATTAAAGTAAAATTTACTTAAGCTAAAAAAAATTTATTAGTTCAAGAATTTTTCAGCTTAATTTAAAATAATAAACTCTTAAAAATTATTTTTCTACTTAGTTGAAAAGTTTTTTTTTTTTAATTAAGCAAATTCTTTTTCAGTGTAAAGATTAATTTCAAAATAAATTTCTTTTCTTAAAAAATAATTAGAAAAAATTTAAAAACAATTAATTATACATCTAATAAATGAATAAATTGTTTCCAAATAAATAAAATTATTAACAGTTAATAAATTGTTCTATCATTAAAGTCATATACCATTTATTGAAATTAAAGACATGAAAATTTAATTGTATATTAATCAGCTTTTTATTTACGAAGATAAACATAATGCCTGCTACTTCTCCGGTATAATTTATTGTAAACAGTTTACATTAAGAATTTTTACAAACTATCATTAGTACATATAAATATATACCTCGGTTGTAAACCATTGAGGAGTATTTAAAGTTTCTATAATTTACCGGCTGGAAAATCATGATCGAACCTTCCTTTTCATGCCTGTATCTGTCTTATAAATCTGTGAGCTGTGGTTTACGCTTTTAGACTTGTCTTTATTTTCCATCAGCAGAGTAGAGGCTCTAACGGAATAGAAGCAGGCTATAGTGTCCCTTATATTACCCTGTATAGTAAGCAACTTTAACTTACTAAAGAGCGATCAAAAGCAACCACTCTGAGGATATCATTACGTTTGAAACTTCAAATAGAAGCAATAGAATAGAATTAGAATGAGAAGTAGTGATGTAAATCTCTCACATGCACACCTTGACGCTTTTTTATAGCCGTGTAAAGACCAGATAGATAGATACAAAAGCAAAATTGTTAAACATCTATATTTGTGGTTTGCCAACCATAATAAGTGTTTTTTTTATCTTTATGGATGATCAATTAATCCCTTAGTTAGAGTTGTAAAAATTAATCTTTTGATTTTGTAATTTAATTATTGGACGCTACTTAACATAAAGAAAATTATTTTACTGCAGACAGTAGTTTTGTTTAATAATTTTATTTATAAATTATTGAGTAAATTTTAATGGCATGATATTAAGCGTTTAATTAAATATTGATAACTGATAAGAATAAACTCAATCAATGAAACATGAAACATGCAATATAATGTGTATAGCTTTTATTGAACGAGAGTGATATGATAAATGATTCAATTGTCATCTAAATATTTATAAATATACGGATACTTAATAGTGAATATATAAAGTAAATGTCAAATTCATATGTTATGAGCTGCTAATATTGGAGGTATAAGCGAAGCTTAAGTATAGAAAAAAAGAAAATTGATTTGGGGAAATTATGATGTACTGAAAGGTTAGAAATATTAGCAGGTATAGAGCAGGTAAATTATTATGAAAGGATATTTATTATGTATACCTTTAATGGGTGTATAAGCAGGTGCGTGTGGAAAGAAAAGAAATTTTTGATGCTAATGTTGTTTAATTTTTAGTTGAGGTTTGTTTAGTTATTGTAATTAGGAAGACTTCAATATAATTACACAGAAAATAAAAGTTTATTTGAATCGAGAAAATTGTAAATAGACTGAAGTTGTTTAGGAGCAAGATAAGTTTTTTTCTTTTAGAATAATTTTTTATTGAGTCAAAAAAATTTAATCTAGAGTCAAGCAAAGTTAGGAAATAATTAATATATAATATATTTTCTGATATTAGTTTTTTTAAAATTAAAATTTATAAATAAAGTATTAATATTGTTAACTTGGAAAATTTTATGAATTTTAAAGTTAAATTAAATTAAATATAATGATGAAAAAAATTGATTTGATTTTGGAGAAAAAAATCTTAAGCTAAAAAAATAATTTCAAATAATTTTATTGCCTCCAATCAGGCAAAAAAAATTTTTTAAATAATATATTTAATTAAATAAATTTTTTTTATCAAAGTAAAAAATTTATTAAGTCAAAAAAATTTTAATTTTCTTTTTTTTTAATTTCTTTAAATAAATAAAATTTATAAAAAAAAATTATGGAATTTTCAAGAGATGACACTAATATGACTCATCGAATTTAATTTATAATTTTAAAACATGACTATTTGCAAAAAGTCATCCATATCTCAATCATATATTCTGATTTAAACAATTTTCCAATTAACCTCAATACTCATCTTTAGAACCATAATATTTAATCATTTAAACTCGAACAAATTCTCCGATAAAAAATTCAAGTTCAATCACAAAAAGCCTCAAACATCATACTCACTTATAAAGTATAATATTAATTTACCGCAAAATTACCTTTTATCTTCTCAACCACAATAGAATTCAAAATTTAGCCACCGAATAACTAAACTCGATATTGAACTCCAATATACTACTAATTCATCAAAACTACCTGGTATTTACCGGTCAATTATTATCAATCACAAGTACCTCGATAAATAACGAGTATAAATGTTAAATATCCACTATTTAATACCATCCAGCATTAAATTAACCACTCAGAATTGAAAAACTAAAAAAGCAAGCTTACAACTTCACTACGTCAATAATAGTCGAGTGGTATCAATCTTATCATTAATCTTATTTCCGTTGACATAATCATCGAAAGTACAGCATGTCTTCGAAGCAATATAATCTTTTCCATCAGTATGCTCTAAATCAATCTGCATCGATAAATCGCTGTAGACACGTCTCCTCCTCTATATCTACTTTCTTTCTCATACAATACTTCAACTGGGTCTTTCGTCCATACCAATCATTATACATACTCTCACAAGGATAAATACAAACATAAACATAAATATTTAACCACTTACACTTGAGTGCGAGTGGGATTGCATGTATGAGTTGTTATAAAAGTGACGATAATATATATACACATCCATCATCCATCATAAATTTAATGCATTCTACATATAGGCAGAGGGTTGTCAGATAATTACACCTGATGAAAATTGTACTGGTATCCTGATATTCTCCTCTCTTCTCAGTCTGAGAATAATATAACCAGTCTTACTAAAACTCAGTCTCAGCCTACCTGAGCCGTACTTCTTACTCCTTACTTTACTTTGGGGTCTTATGTACGTACCGTACCATACATCTCAATACCTACCTGTGAAGTCTGCACGTATGTATTTTGCTCACTGGTTAATATTTTTCTCATATAATATCAAGAACGTCCAACATATGGCCAAATATGTACATAAACTCACACATGAATACTCACTCACCAGCGGTAATGATTTGTGCGGGTGTACTTTGCTTCAGGATTAAGATTCTCACTTATGTGTTTTACATTATATGCTGTGATGTGTACCTTATTGAGTATTGGTTTATCCACATCCACATATGTTCGCATATTAACATTAACACACATGAGTTTAACGTTGAATGCAGACGTGGATTTGAACGTGGATTTGTGTGAATAAGTAAGACACTACCACAAGATCGGAATCGTTAGTGCGCACACATCGCATCACATATGTGCCTCTTGTTTGTTAGAGAAAGAAGAAGCAATGGACCTCCGGGGATGGTCAGAAGTATGAAGTGAAGTATAGAGCCAAGTATAAGATAGGAGCGAACAGAGACGTGAGTCCGAGAGAGCAGAGTAGTTTTGATGCACACATAGGAGTAAATAATGCAGGAAGAGTGAGAGGTCTTAAGTATAGGGTTTGGTTAACGATGTTTGTTTTATACATTGGCAGCCTCTTCGAACCTGTAATCTCTCTAAACGAGATATTATACCAGGTCTCTCTCACTCAGCATGTCTGCTTTCTGCTGACCATCTTCATCTCCCTCAAGCTCACGGCTCCAGCATCCTCTCCTCCTGACAAATATTCTGGATAGCTTGTTCTGTTGCTTTATACCTTGTGCTGTGTATCAGCATCAAAAAGTCTCGCCACAAAACGACAGTTCGGTTAAGTGTGAGCCTTGGGCCCCGAAATTACTTCCTTCCCTTTACCTTTATGTTACTTCTATATAAAAACTTTCTCTCCTTTTCTTTGCTTTTTTTTTTTGTTGGTTGTTTTAGTTTAGTCGAGTTGTAATCTCGGCAAAGCTACTTACTAAAACTATAAATTTAATTACGGACGTTTATAAACATTTAAGTATGTATGAATAGTCCAGACACTAACACCTACTTTTGGTTGGGATTTTTTTTTTTTAAGAATTTAACTTTATACAGTTTCAATGAAATGTTACTGACATTGATAGAAAAATTTATTTGATTTAAAAGAAAAAATCTTGAGCTAATAAAATTATTTTGACTAATCAGATAATTTTTAAAGTAAGAAAATTTTTTAAGATTAGTTCATTTTTTTTAATATTGACTGAAAAATAAGAAGATTTTTATAAAAATAAATCTTTATTAAAAGAAAAAAAAATTTTTTATAAATTAAAGTAATTTTTACTTTTAGAAACTTTTTACATAACTTAAAATTATTTTA